TGCTGTGGCTTTAATCACTCCAAGCTTATCTCTGTGCACAGAGAGCTTGCATGTTTTTTTCCAGGGATTTATTCAGGGAGGCCTGTGTGGTTTTGTATACTGCAAACATGAAGGGCATTCTTTTCCCCAGTATCTCCTTTCCACTACCTGACCATAATTTAATTCCTGATACATCAATTCTCAAAAAAACCCTGAAGAATTCACCTCTCCCCATGTACTTATGCACAGATGCACAAGTACCTGCACACGCCTCGCTCCCAAGAGCTGTGTCATGATATATGAGTCAGCTCCCTTGAGAGTCTTGCAATACACTTGTCTGACGTGGTCTGGAGGAACTGAGTGACTGGACGTAGCACAAGCTTGTACTGCGTGAACTTGTTTGCAACATGGAGCCATTTATCCCAGGCTCTTACTGCGCTGCTGGGCTGCCTGCATTCCCTGGGGGATGCTAGCACAAACACCACTTCTTGCCTAGTTACCAGGAGGGCTGTGAGGTATTTGAAATCAATGTTATGTGTTGCTGTTGGTAAATAGAAGAGGGCAGGCTATTGCTTAGGTGAAAGAAGCAAGATGGATGTGAAAAATGGGAGACAAAAAAAATAACTTCTTTTAACAGCCCATCTGTCTTATTATATAAACATTCTCCAAAACATTTATTTCTGTGGCAAAAGTATCACTGATACTTTCATCATTTCCAAGGCTTGAAGGAATGTATGAATTCATGTGTACTGAATCCTATGAATTCAAGGAAAATTCAATGGATATTTAATCTGCTTCTGGAAGGAAAAATTCTTCCCTTTGCTTCCTTCAAAGAGAAACAAAAACATCCTTTATTATTCTTAGTAAGAGAACCGTGCTGCAATCACTCTACATAGTGAAATGACAACTTCTTGAAAATCTTGCTGCTCTTACATCTTGGATAAATGCTAACCTAAAAGTGATAGAGAATTAGGCAATAAGATTAGAAGGAGAGATTGTTCCTGAATCAGTCCATTAGGATTAACCAGGCTTTGTTCCATGGCAACTTAGCTAAGAATAATCATGACTGCAAATAGTGCAGTTCCAGTTTCTTGGGTGGAGCACAGAGTAAAACTGCTGGTCTCCAAGTGCAGTTGTTAATGTGTTTGGCGGTTCTTAAATGTCACTGTGGCCATACTTCAGCAATTCAGTTAGAATTGGTTTTGCCATCATATGTGATGCATAGGGAATTCAAAAGCCTGTGGGAGAGCTGAGTTCATAAGGTCCTTGTACATTCAGATTATTTCTGGTGGGGCATGATTTCTGGCATTAACAGTTGAGGCTGACAGCATTGACTTTGCCACCTCAGTCACCAGTGGTATACGAGGCATGAAAGGAGTATGTGAGAGAGGTGGGTTGGAGCAGTCAGGCTGGCACATTGGTGGGTCCTGATGATAAACCAGTTCTCAGGAATGTAGATCTCAGGTGGAGGAGAAATTCAAAACACCTTCTCTGTTTATTTGTGCTGCAGTGCCCCATTTTGGGCATGGCTGAGCTGGGCCCAAGGAAAGGCAGTATCACCAGTGAACAGTTTGATTACATTGATCATATCCAGGAAGAATCCTGAGAATCTTTTAAGAAATGTAAACTTGTTTTTACTATTCTACTCTATGCTCCCCCACCTCACATTGCAACATTTTTTTATATTAAATGCATTTACCTGTCTAATCTGTGCTTGGAAACCATAGTGCTTTCTTAATCAAATATATAAAACTATTCATGCTAGCTTAAATTGGTGAATTATGTTGTCACAGTCATTTAAACAAAGAATGCATTAGGCACAGGCACAGGTTACAATGAAGGGCCCATCCCATCTGAGACGTTTCATGGGCAGTGCGGTTAGCTGAAGGAGTAGTACGTGTGTGGTCACAATACTCAAGTTCCCATCTGCCATCCAGTTCTTTTGTCCTGGTAGAAACCCCGTTGTGTGCCATAGTTTTGTCATGAGGGGAAGTACACATTGCTTACCAGCTGTGTTTTGATTCCACTCACTGCCCCTCTGTGTCCTCTTGTATGTACACTGCTTAGGATGTCTGCCAAATCAGTCAGTTGGGGCTGAAATACTCTTCAAGATACTGGTTTAGGAAATATTTATGCAGGAACAACAAACGAGAAAATGCGGCTTCTTTGGTGTCCTTTGTGTTGTAGCTAAAATTAAGTTTGTCAGCAGGAGAGGAGCAGATGTTCTGCAGGCCAGAGATGGTGCACAGGCTCCAGGGCCGGCCGCAAGCCATGAGGGACAGGGCTGCTGCTCCCAACATACAGCCCTGGGCAGCTCACACTCACAGCACTGGGGTAAAGCTGCGGGCTGTGTGTGACAAAGCACCCTCTTCGTCACACACACCTTTGACGAAGACCTTCACTTGCCCTGAGCAGGAGGTAGGCCTGGCCTTGTGCCACTTACCAAGTGCGTTTTTTGTTCTTCAGATTCAATTATTTAAAAAAAGTTTAGACAAAGATAACACACACGACCCCTTCCCTAAATTACAAGAATTTATTCAATGCTTTGTGCTTTTTTGCCAAGTTCATAAAGAACACCTCCTTTCTAATGCTTTGCAAGAAAATGTTGATATGTTTTCCAGAACTGTATTTAAAATGTATATATTGAAGTTTGATATGCTGCAGATGTTTGGTGAAATTCTAATAAAACAGCCAGAGTAACCCACCATGCGAATTTTATCAAAATCCTCTTGAGGAAAATTAATCCCAAGGGATGTGTCATAGGTCAAACAAAAGCTGTCATACCTCCTCCTTGTTTTGAAAACACCCAAAACACCCTCTTTTATTTACAACCAATATATAAAAGCTTTTTGTCAGCAATTTGTCTTTTTATTTATGTGCTGGTATGCTAACTAATTATTACAAGTTCCACACAGTGCTAATCTTGCAATAATGGTATTTCTAGTATGACAACTTTCATCTGCTGACTAAACAAGCTGAGTCTTGCCTTTTCTCAGCATGGCCATGACTCAGAAACAAATCACTGGGAATTAAGGATCTTAGGGCTCGCCTGTATGTGGGTTTTGCATGAGTGCAATTAGACAAGTTTAAGCCAAAGCAGTGCAGCCCCCAAGCCTGGCTGAAACTGCATTCCTGCTAAAGTCAGCCCTGCTTATCTGACTAAATTCAGTGTTACATGCAGTCCGTGTTAGAATAGCTGCTCTGGAGTACATGGAGTGGCTGTTCTGCTCTGGCTGAGATAGTTCCATATTGTCCACCACTGTGCCATTGTTCCCAGGATGTTTTTTTCTGACAGTGTAAGAGTGAGATTTTAGAAAGAGCTCTTGGGAAAAGAAATTGGACATCATGCTGTTCACTAAAAACATGAGATTTTTTCCCTCTGCCTTCTTTCCGGTCCGGGAATTAGGGGCCTGGATTCTGAGCCTCCAGTTGCTTATAGGGAACAACACAACACCGGGAACATTCAGGTCACCTCACACCCAGTGACTCGGTGCAGGAAACACGCCCTTTCCCACCTACCCCAGTGCAGCAAATGTTCTTTGGACACAAAACCTCATGGAAGGGGCTCACCATGCAGAAACCTCACCACAGGACCAGACTGAGGGTAGTTGTCCTCTACCACGTGCTATACTGTGTATGACACATCTCCTATATCATGGGCATTTTGTTTGTTCTTTTTTTCTTTTTTTTTCTTTTTTTAAAGCCTGACTACGATGTGCTGATGGTGCAGGTACACAATGTGTTTGCTCTGGCAGTGAAAGCAGCTGAATAATTTCCCACTTCATCCCCCAGCCCAGCTGCTCACCCTGTTCCTCTTGGTTGTACTGAGGTAACTGTTTGAATATGGGTAGTATAAACCAGGACAGAGAAATAACAATGTTAAGAAGTGACTTTCAACAAAACAACAAAAAAACAATTACAAGGGGGACACTGACTTATTATTGAGACAGGAAACCACAGCAGAGGGCAAGCAATTTTTTGATATATCATTACAAAAGTAATTCATACAGGACTCTGGAAAAGAAGTAGGAATCATCTTGTGTTGGGGCAAGGATGTTAAAACCACAAAAAATGTGAAAAACAAGTGTTGAAATAAATAGCCCAAACAACTAAGATGACATTTGGAATTACACTAATGTGTTGTCATCTACTATGAGTATCAAGTGTACTTCTTCAATTTGTCTAATCTAATATAAACACTGAGCAGCAGGTATATCTAAAAAAAGCCTCTACCAAAACACTGCAGATACCCATCTTGCCCTGGGGAGATGAAGACAGCAAACCAGGTATGACAGCACCTAGAGGCGTAATTTAATGCATGGTTAGAAGGCATTCGCATTTACAGCCCTCTAAAGAGGGCTGTAAACACAGGAGAGGAGAGGGGAGGGGAGAGGAGGGGATGGGCAAGGTGAGAGGAGAGGAGATGTCAGATCTGAGTTAAAAAATTAAAGCACTTTAACACTGAATGTCACCTTCTCAGTATTTTCTCTCTTTTTTTTTTTTAATTCAAAATAGAGACCATGCAAGTTCAGCATAAAAAAAAAAAAAAAAAAAAGTAGCATTAAAGCTTAATTTTGGTTGCTAAATGTACTGGAACAAATGTGAATGTTTTTATTGCCGCTGACATATTCAAAAGCAAGTTTTTCTTCAACCTGTTTGGGTTTTTTTTGTCTTATAGCAAGCTGTTATGATTAAAAAATCCCACCTCTTTCCAAGCATATACAGCATTAAGCCAAAAGACTCCTAGCATGAGTTCTGGTTTGAGTGAGTAACTTTGACTCTAATTGAATCTCTTTTGAGACACGCCTAGAGTCTGTGTTTTGTAGAACTTTGGACTAACTGATTACAAATTTTTTTCCTTGACTGGTAGCTGATGAACCCACACGGGTTTACTCTTCTACCCTAAAGTTTTATTGGCAAGTAAAGTGAGGTGTCAAGATTTGGTGTGATTCACAGTGAGGATAGGAGTGAAGCTGCCATCTGATTTTAATGGTAACTCTCTTGGCCTTGTTTTGCCCACAGATGACCTTGCTCAAGAAGGAGGAGAGAGAATTTCAGGTTCTGCAGATAAGAAAGCTTCCTTCTGAGATTAGAAACAACACTGCCTGAGGTGTGACTCTTGAATGTCTTGTGATGTTAAATTAAGCTAGCATTATATATATATATTAAAGTTTCTGGCATATTTTAAGTGCTGTTTGGATGTAGACTATACAGTAACAGCTTCCAAAATGGCTTTGCTCTAAACAGGAGAGGATTTAACATGCATTTTTATCTCTTGCTAAGAAAAGTTTTCTGAGCAGGATTAGCCAAGGAAACAGTGTTTGCAGTTGGATTACTTTTCTGCCTTGAGTTTAAATCCTGCTGTAATAACACTGTCTTTCAAAAAACCCCTGTTTGGGTCGTTTTCCCTGTCAGTGCTGGAAATCCCATGAAATCACCAGTGATCGTATTTCATATTTGTGGGTGCAGTCTTGAAAGAGTTCCTGAGATACTTTGGCCATGCATAGCAAGAAATTGGAAGGCTGTCTATACTTTGGCTTTGATGCAGAATGATTCCTCCCTTAGTGGTACAGTCATTCATTCCTGTCCATGGTGATCTGGCATGAACACCTGCACTGAGCCCAGCTGTTTCCTTGCCCTCTGCTCTTCCCCTCACTGTTATGCTGCACAGAAGGCCTCTTCCACCTGCAGAGCTGGGCTTTCAGTACCCAGCATGCTGTTCTCTTAAAATGTTCTGTCTTCAATCTGTCTTGGCAAGTTTTGTCTGTGGCCTGCATGGAAATATTTTAAAACCCAACAAAGAACATATTTCAGCTGTTGACCTCAGCAGTTCTTAGCAGCTACATCATTTCCCTGTTACTTGCAGTCCAGTAACCAGAGAGGATGCAAGCTGGCTGGCTTTTGGCCAGGGAGCTGGTTCCTCTGCACATCTCTGCAATCAATCCAGTCCATTGCCACAAGTGCCAGAGGGAGTTTTAAAAGACACAGAGTCATGTTATAAATGCTTCAGTCATTGCAGCTGTGTATGAAAGAGAAACAGGCTGCCTGCCTGGTGCTTTGGGGAGTTAAGAAGTTGCAGTACTGGGATGTAAATGAGACCATTTTCATGTATTCATTTCTGTACAGGAACTGCTGACAACAGTGGTAAAATGGTGTTTGCCCTTGAAGTTCAGATCAAGCCCATATTCCTGAGAGGGCCCCGTTCTTCCCCAACCAAGCAGGTTGGTACTTACTTAGGTGAGCTGATGGTCACAGAGAATTTAGGTGGAATGAAATACTAGCTTACACAGGCAGGAGACATGTGGATTCTGTCCTCTTGTGTGTTTACTAACACAAAACAATGTATTTACTTGTATTTCAACCACATAGAAATTGACAACTTTCTTTGACAATGCATCTCCCTGGTAGATTTTAGATAGATCTTTACATTGAATTCCAGCTATCGCAGCACAATTAGTACTAAATAGCTGGTCTTGTTGCTTTGGTTTGGGTTTTGAACTGGGTGGGTTTTTTGTTTTGTTTTTTTTCTCTTTGGGACAAGCATTTTTATCTCTTCAATAACAAATTTAGGCTCCTTCCCCACTGCAATGGTAGGCACTCGAATCAGCAGAGATTTGCCACTGCTGTTAGATGGGGGAATGTCAGAGTATGAGTTTTAACTCTGCAAGGTGCCTGGTTCTCTTTTAACCATCGCTCCCGATGGTCACCACTGGGACAGTCATACCAGCTCCTGATGCAGAGAAGGCAGAAATAGGTAAGGGATCACACCCAAGCAGGGCTGTACATGAGGCTGACACTTCCTAAGGCCATAACTTAAAACTACCAAGGCCAATGATACTTAAGCAATTTGGAAATTTTATTTTATCATGACTTCCCAGTCCAGTATTTTGGATGTTGGGCCAAAATCCATCTGAGTTCCCTTGGATTTTTTTTCTTTTTCTTTCCGAGTGGCAGACATAACAGTCTAGCTGTAGCATGACAACATGCCAGGGATCAAACTTGTCTGACTCTGACCAGAATAGTTTGGTGGAGGAGGAAAATATAATGAGAGCAGGATGGCAAACATATTATCACAACTCTTTCTTCTGCAGTACACTCTTTCAGTGCAAGGGGATAGTAGACAGTCCCTGCATGGGTAACACCGACTGTCAGCTATGCAATAATGTAGTTTTTTACCTTGTAGTGTCTCAAGCCCTATTTGTTGAAGACTCCTCAAGTCTCGTTCAGAAAACATTATTTCCTCAGAAGACATTCTACATGGTTTATATCAACAAACATGTGGTGGCTTATGCAAGGTATGAGTGGCATCATCTCCACAGGAACTAAGACCTGTGTAAGAAATGTCCGTGTTGTGTGTGTTATTTATTTTGGATGTTCTACTTGAGGTGTTATGGACCCAGCATTTGGGACCATTTGGCATTGTTTGGCACTTTCTCGAATCAAAAACCAGTAACCCAAGGCAAGCCTGGTGGGAAGGGTTCATTCTCAAATTCTTTCTGGGACTGAAAACACAGAAAAAAAAGGGTTCCTAGTCTCAGTTCTCCTGCCTTCACCCAGGACAGTCAAGAGAGTAGAGGAACTGCATTTAAATAGAAGGGTTTAAACAGCTCTAAGCTGGACCACATTTTTAGAAAATTAAGGTAAAAGGTGTTAGCATATCTCTATTGAGCATATGCAACATATATTTTTTCAGATGTTTGTAACTTGAAAATAGGAAAAGGTACGTTGCATGCCAAACTGCAGTTCTTTCCTCATGATGTTGATGACATTGCAACCTTTACATAATTTTCAATGTGAAAAACTCTCTTTGTCCCATAGTGTTATTCTGCAGTGCCTGATCTCCCACAGCTGACATGAAGAGAAATACACTTCTCTCTACCCAAAGCCCCTGATTAAATCAAACTGAAGTTGGAGAATGAAAAATTTCAGACCATCTGTTCAAAGTTATAAACAATTGAAACCAAGGTATTTTTCTGGCCTGAGCAATCAAGCATATCTACAATAATTAGATTTAGTTATGTTTCTTTAAGCCATGTTCTTTTTTATTCCCATACAAATACATTTGTTATCTAGAGCTCCAAATACACTGGAAAAGGCAAAACAAACACAAAAATTCTCTTCCTGCAAAGATGAACAGGAAGAAAATACGCTTCCAGAGTCAGAAACAAGGGTACTGTTCACAGGGAGAAAAAGTACCATAGCTGCATCTGCTTACAAAAATTACACTCAGATGACAGTGGGGTTTGTTGCCACCCTTGGCAGCAAATTACTTTCATTCCCCATCCATAGCTCTTTGACATGATCAAAGGAGTTAACAGCACAGAGTATCCAAACCCTCCTAAGGGAAAAAAAAAAAAGGTTGTATTTTCAATCTTTTGTGGTTTTTACATTTTTGACATATTTGTGGATATTACTGCATAACAGGTGACCTGCAGAGGAGTTACGTTCATTTAAATGCTTCTACCAACTTAGCAGCTTCACCCTCGCAGTCAACAAACCTCAAACCCCATTTTCATTTGAGAAAACCTTCCAGAGTGAGGGTGATTCCCTAATTAGCCACATCCTCCATGTATCACCATTAGATAACACAAGGAAATGTGTTCACGGCTTGCTGCTTCATCGAGCTGCTGTAGTGATTCATTCCACATCAACTAGCACTGGGAGAGCAGAAACGCCCAGGCTGACAGCAGGGATGTGAAGAGAGCACCATTCTCATAAGATTTTTTCCCCACAGCGTCTCCCCCATTGTTTTTTCACAGATGAAGGTTTGCCCTGTACTGCCCCAAGGAGCTTGCCCTCCATTTATCTCCTAGAGTAGAAGATCTTTGTGGGTCAGTTGTCCAAAACGTGTCAAAATGTGTGTTTCTCGATCCTGCTCCCAGCTGCCACCTCATAGGGGGATCAACTGGATGCCAGTGTCTCTCTGGAGCAATAACATTCAGTTCCCATGAAGTCCTGCTCCTGGAGACTGGAGGACTCTTGATCAAATTCTTGCAGTCACAGGACTCTGCTTACAAGAAGAGACGCTGGGGCATGGTGCCCTGCTCTGAGCACCACACATGCCACGATGACTGATCATTCTTTGTGGGATCCTCCATTCAACTATGGCTGTCTGAACACTGGCTGCATCGTCCCAGCGCAGGGCCTGGATTTCTTCCCTGGCCAGGGAACAACAGCCACATGCATGCATCTCCAGAAGCCATTTTATCTGTCCTGTTTCAGACACAACTGCACAGGAAACGTAAGAAACCATTTTTTGATCAGATCAAGCTCTTAGAATGCTGTACTTGAGAAAAAACACCTACAGCCTTCTGTATTCAGAAATAAAACTTGTATTTCCCTGAAATGGTGAAAGAAGATTTATGTTTTGAGCATCTCTGCATTTTCACATGCTTCCACCTGTCCTTGTTACCCACATGTAACCTGCCTACACTTATGGAATTATGAGTGAATACTCTGTGTGTGTGTGTGTGTGTGGTCTCAGAGTCTGTCACTGGCCTGCTAAGAAATGTGATGGGTGCAGGAATTACTTACAGTGCAGCCTGGTGCACTGAGTTATTTCAGGGACTCAGCGTTATTTTGAAGGGTGCTCTGTATTTTAAATTACATGTCTGCAACATTGTTCCTTACAACTGCAATATGTCATTAGCTTTTCTTCCAAAGAATAGCCTCTTCTAGGTGGCTTCACTGGGCCTGTCTTCTCTGCGAGCACATTCCCTAAAGAGGTGATGCACCACTCAAATGTATCATGTACTTGATGACTACTCCTAAGGAGGCATGTCAGTCTTAAGGATTAGACTCAGTGTTGGAAAAGTGCTGGGAGTTTCCCTTAGGAACAAAACAGTCTGTTTTGTTCAGTGAGGGTTACCATACAACAAGAAATACTGCTTTATGCTTTAGCCCTAGTAGCAGCATGCTACTTAAATCCATATTAAAACATGGCTCAACTGTTCTTTGTCAGTAGTTTGGGGCCAGATGGCAAAGCCTTATGCTGACCTGCATCAGGGAAATGCTGTGCTTTGATTTTCAGTGCTGGCTAGCCCAGGCTGCTGCCAAGCTCCTCATGCCCTGGCCTCTTTACCTACTGCCAAGCAGAGTGATCAGCTGGGCATTTGAATTCTCAGTCCTGCTCTCTCTGTCCTCATTCACTTTGCTGAAAGGCTCCTTTTCCCTTCAAAGGGTGTCTTCTCTCATGCATTGGCATTGCAGCCCAATCTGCTCCAGAAATATGCCTGAAGATGACTAATACGTGTAATACACAAGTAAACAGAATGTTTAACATGTTATTCTAGGTCCTTTGATATTAACCATGTGTATAATGCAGAGGAGGTATTGTCCTGCCAAATTCTTGTGCCATCAAAAAAATCCTGTGTTGTATCAGTAATGACCTGCTACAGACCCTATTTTCCAGCAGCATTTATTGTATTTATTTAGACTGTGCTGAGGACACAGACGAGGATGAGAAATTAAGAGGTGCTGTGCTGACAAGAGACGTGGAAGAGAGACTTTAAGGCACAAAGCTGACCATACAGAGTGAGATGGGTAGACAAAATGAGCACTTGGCCTAGCAGCTAGTTGGGAGAATGGTGTTACACCAAACCAAACACTGCTATTTAAAAGCAATTAAAAGGTACAGATTAAAATACCTTTGATAATAGCATCATAGCTGTATGTGCCTGAAAGGAAGACATACCCTCAGGAAGACAACCATCAGCTGTGCTCTCCAGCAAGTGGGAAATGATCTATTACTTCTCATCAAAGGTCTTCACTTACACTGAAAGTGGTGGATTTTTGTCTTTGTCAGTGTTGGAATCTCTAAAAGGTATAAGCATCTTGAAGAGAGAGTAGTATTTTCTTGTTGTGTCTGGTTAGCAATATTCATACATGATTATTGTTGTTGCTTTGAAATGTGGGAATTCCTTACCTTACATCAGCTTTACAAGCAGGGCATTTGTTTAGTGCCAAAGTAGTCTGGCACACCAACGCAACATTCAAGAAGCAAATGTCATTAGTACTAGTTTTATCTCTCTTGGGATGTCCTTTTTTTCTTTACTTACGAATAAGATAAGTCTGTTAAATAACGTTAGTTTGTTATCAAACTTTCCGTCCTTAGGAAAGGAGGGGCCTTTTTCCTCTTTAAATGTGTTTGTTCTAGTTCTGAGGATTACTCATTTCCAGAACACTGGCAGGTAGCACAGAAAGCAGGGTTTAGCAACAAATTTTCCATACCTGAGTCACAGGATGTACTATGGAAAGAATACGATGTTATTTAGAAGGCATTAGTGTTTTCAGTATAGGCCATATGCAATGTAAAAACTAGCAAAATAAGAAGTGGTAATGCCTCACCATTTTCTTCACACAGAAAACGTGGCCAAAACCACATCAATCTTTTAAGAAAACATATGAAGCCTCTAACATGTTTCATTACATTTCTTGCAAAATAGTGACTCTTTCTGAAACAGTACCTTCTAACCTGTAACCTTAATCCTATTCTTTTTAATATGAAGCAGTAAATAACCTGAGATGCAGTTCCCTGCCACACAATTACAGGGAAAGAAATCTACCATGAACAGGGATCGGTTTGTACCATCACTGCAGAAATACCTTTCTGTGTGAAAAGCCTCTCTCTCCTGCAAAGATTCCTGTCTCAGCCTGTTGCTCTGCCACTTGCTTGTGGAGGTGTCACCATTGGCTGGAGTTTGATCAAGCAGATCTAGTCAGAACACATCTGCTGCTTGGCATCTTCCTGCCACATCTTCCTGCTCTTGGCCATCTCCTTGCTCTGTCTGTGTCAGCAATAGCCCAGGCTGGCTGGTGGCTGCTCAGGTTCATACCTGGGTAACATCTCAACAAGCATTTGAAGTACAGTTGATCACACTTCCAGGCACAAAGAAAGGTAAAATTGGTGTTCCCCAGTCTGTGGTCAGCTCCATGAAACATGAGAAGAAGATCCAGGAAAAGGCTGCAGAACAGTATTTCTAAAAAATTACTCATGCAATTACTCACCTATATGAGTGAACAATAATAAAAAGAAGTAGTGGTGATAGATAAACCTTCAGACTTTGGCCTTTTCGCATGGTTCCAAGTACAGATCTCTGTGGCACGGCTGTACAAGCAATTTGTGCTCCTTTGACCAAAATGTGGAGGACCACTAAACAAGCCCTACCTATTGTTTTTTCTATGCAAAGGGTAACTTAAACAGCATTTCACAAGGCAGGTGCGTCTTTTGTGCACTGCAAATATGACCCCCTGCAGCAGCAACAAAGGTGATGAACAAGCCAGGGTGGCTGGAGCCTCTGCCTGAGTAGCCCTGCTCATGAAGCACCTTGAAGAGGAGCCCTGAGAATTTTCCCTTTTCACTGAGACAGCCATTCCCCACAGGCATTATCCTCCTTACAACCCCTCCTTAAAATCCTTCTTTGACATTCCACTGAGCCTCCTCAAAGATACCCACCAGCAGGCAGAGTGGGCCAAGGACTCTGTTACAAATTGCACTGCCTTTGTCTCAGCACTTGATCACTATCTTGTCTTGTACTGTAAAGGTCTGGGGCAGTGACAATCTCCTCCTCTTCTCTGTATCACTTAGCTCAACGGGGTCAGCTCATAAGGATATCAAAGAACTAAATCAAAAGAAGTAAAAAAAACCTCAAAGAATTAAAATAATAAGCAGTTAAACAAAGGAAGTGATAAGTACCCATATTTAGCATATTATACATATTTTTAAACAGTAATAGAAAAGATCACCATAGGAATAATAAGTGTTACTATTTATGCCTTGTGTAGATCTTTTAATCTGTGACTTTCTGAGCACTCTAATTAAAGACTTTGCACATATCCAAGTGCAAATAATTCCCATCTGGAAGGGACAGAATGCCAAAAGTGAAGCAATTTAATGCCAACAATATCCTCATCTAGCATTATGACTGCAGATCTGGGGTTAAGCTTCCATTTTTAATTAGCTAGCAATCTTAGTATGACATAGATAGATAAGGGAGGTCCTCATCTGCTGTTTGATACATGGGTCAATAGTCACCATCAAATCATGAATGTTTGCAATGGGCATTTACCAGCAAATCTGTGACCTCTGAAGTGACTCAGTTATTGGCTGGAAACACTTGAGTGCTGGTCTGCAGCCATAAAACTGGGATTCAGCTTCAAAGCTGAAGGTGGTAACTTCCTTCTCCTTTTACCTCTCATTATGTGTGGTAAAATAATTCCTTCCTCCAATTTCTTACTTATCTTAATCTTACTGATGGCATTAAGATTTCAGCTTTTCCTGTGTGGGATGGCAACCACATCTTCTCTGCAGCAAACAGCAGAGGAATTGGTGTCAGCACCAACCACAGACCTTTTCCTTGGAGCCAGGCAGCCACAGCCCCAGAAGCTGGGCAGCCATAGCAGTCTTCTCAGTAGAAAGCAGCAAGCTTTCAAACTTCATCGTACATTGATTTACTAAAACTTCTGCAGATGATTAGATGACTTTTCACTTTGCTGTGTGCCCATGGGGAGGGATAAAGGCAATCACTTTCTCCTCCACCCGCCCTGTTTGACAGCGAGGTGAGTGGTTCCCACCTTTGTTTCAGAGGTCAGCTATCTATTTGCAAAACTTCCAGGGTCCAGTTGCTCTTCCCTTTTCACAGACTAACAAATTTCCAGTATTTCTTGGAGCAGCTCTGAGTCGGGTTTGGGTATGAGCCATGGGCCCGTCACAAGGAGCCAGGCAGCCAACTAGGCAAAAGGCACCCCAGTCACATTTAGCTGTATCTTTCAGTAGCTGTTTCAGTTGAAGTTCCCTGTTTGTTCAGCCTGGAGCAGATGGTGAATCAGAGCACCTTCGGGCAAGTGGAAAATCTTCCAGCAGCAACGTCTGGAGCACTGAACTGAGCTCCTCGCACGTCCTCCCCCCTGCCCAGCCGTGCTGGCCCAGGGTACTGGCTGTCTGCTCAGATGGCTCCAGACAGGGAAGAGCACTGAGCAGGAAAAGTGGCAGAAGGCAGCTGAAGCTGGATCAAAACAGGAGGCCTCACCTCTATGCAACAAGGAGTGATAGGAACTGGATTTTTTTCCAGCTGTGTTTTGGTTGGCTGTGTTTAAAAAGTGACCCTCTGCAGAGAACTTTGAGGTTTTTTTATTTAAAAAGTCCACAACTGCCTGCTGTTTTTCTCGTCTCACCCTGTGTATGGGTGTGAAGGGCCAGATCCAGACGTAAATTAAAGTATCTGTAAGTGGGAAGCTCAGGTGACAGGTCCCTGGATGTGGCTCTATCGACCAGATGTAATGCTTCGGCTGCGGGGA